GACTTCCTCTGTTATATTGGAAGTTTTTTGTAACCAAGTCATCTCTTCCCTTTGCATGACCCTCATTTTATTCAAATCATCTTTGTCTGTGCCTGCACAGTAAGTTGTTAGTGGTTAGCTCCCAGCTCATATCTGTACTTGGTGCCACATTTAATAACTGAAGTACATAGAAGAGAAGGCTTGGTGAAGAACAGATAGACTAAGTCACTTCTGAATTGCCCTTTCCAAAGACACATGCTGAAATAAAGGTAGAGGAAGAGATCAGGACAGAAAACAGGTGGTTTAAGAATAGTTGATCTAGCCAGGCACTAGTGGCTCACACCTGTAATCCTAGCTACTCAGGAGGCTGAGATATGATGATGGTGCTTCAAAGCCAGCCTGGGCAGGAAAGTTTGTGAGACTCTTACCTCTAGTTAACTACCAGAAAACTGGAAATGGTGCTGTGGATCAAGTAGTGGAGTGCTCACCTTGAGCTGAAGAACTGAGAGACAGTGCCCAGGCTCAGAGTTCAAGCCCCATGACCAAAAAAAAAAAAAAAAAAGAATAGTTGATCTTAGAAAATGTGATAAAATATTGTCTAGGGAGCTGGATATTGGTAGTTCATGTCTACAATCCTAACCACTCAGGGGACTGAGATCTGAGGATCAAGTTTCAAAGCCAGACCAGGCAGGAAAGTCCATGAGACTCTTATCTCCAGTAAACCACTTGACAAAAAGCCAGAAGTGGCTGTGGCTCAAGTGGTAGAGCACTATCCTTTAGCAAAAGAAGTGCAGGGACAGATCCCAGGCCCAGAGTTCAAGGCCCAGAGTTCAACCCCCCCCCAAAAAAAAATCCTAGGGGCATTAATATTCAAATATTCTCAATGTATTTTGTTGCCACACTATTAATCTTGGAACCATTTGTTAAGATCTCCAAATGCCAAAGCCTCTGATCTGCTTATTCCCTACCTAGTATTTATGGCTTTTATAGGCAAAAAAAAATATGGAAACTATAATAATAGCTTTCCTCTAGCCAACTGTCTCCCATTTTGCCTTATTTTGTCCAGCTCTTTGTGTCCATCAAGCAAGGTATGTCCTTAATGAGGTCATGTGCTCTCTGTACATCACGTGATTATAGTAATACATTTTCTACTTTCACAGCCATGCTTGAAGGACAGCCTGGTCCACAGAGGAGGACCTTTACACCTTGTCACAGCTTCTGGTCACAGCTCCTGCCTTTGATTCTAATGGTGTGGTACATTGAGCAGGAACATTTTCTGTAACCATTTAGCTCAACTTTACAGCTAGGCTCTGGAAGGGATGAGGATCGGCTTATGCTGGCTCAGTAGGAAAGAACACTGTTGGTGTTAATATCTGTGTAATAATAGCTTTACTCCAAAATTGCCTTTTCCACAACCATTATTCCTTATCAATTATAGGTAGCAAGACTGATTAGGTTTTGACTTTATTATCTTTCATTATGCTAATGTTTTTCTATTAACGTATATTCAAATACATGTTAAGAACCCCACAAGTGCTGCATGTCTAGAGTTAAGTAGTGGGCTAAATTGTAAGTTGGCTAAATAAAATCAGTCTACAGCCAGAATGTTATATGATATGTACAAAGTAAAAGAGGAAGCCTTCAAAACTGAGATAAGGGGCTGGGAAGGTGGCTCAGTGGGAGAGTGCTTGCCTTGCATGCATGAGGCCCTGGGTTCGATTCCTTAGCACCACATAAGCAAAAAGAAGAAAAGCTGGAAGTGGTGCTGTGGCTCAAGTGGTAGAGCGCTAGCCTTGAGCTGAAGAGCTGAGGAACAGCGCGTAGGCCCAGAGTTCAGGCCCCACAACTGGACCCCCCCCAAAAAAAACTGAGATAAAAGACAGATTTCCTCCTGAGGAGGAACTATTTGATTGATAACACATTTATTAGCAGCAGCAGTATGCCTTATACTTATCATCAAAAATAGGATACTACAATAAAGTCCTTTAAGGACACATGAAGACTAAGAGGATTTTTTTTAACTCAAAAATTTGAAAGAATTACTAAAAGTTAGACTTTAGCAAGCAGGAAAGTGAACTCATAGGCTCTAGAAGCAAAGGTACACAAAGAATTTAAATAATGTTAATAAACTGTAAACAATCTGCATATATGCTATCTCTTTGCTCTTTAAGGACTAACAAACTCTTTCTGTAGTTGAATGTATAGTCTCTTTGGCCCGGTTCCAAATTGGCTTGGTACAATTCTCCTATTTGTGATGAATTGCTTTCACTTCAGCGTTAGAACATGAGCCTCCATGGACTCAAAGAACAGAATAAAGCCACAGGCTTACCCTTAATCAAAGCTTCTGTTAAGCGTTTGTAATTGTGGTCATTATAACCCAATCTGTTTTTAAAGCTGCTACACTTCATTATCGATTATAGCCATTGATCTGAGCACTCAGATGGGTCTTCTTTCTGTCCCTGCAGTCTCCTGCAGCTTCATCAGAGATACGAATCTTAGGGCCTGGGAGCCAGCCTCCCTGTTCAGTTTCTTGCCCTCCGCAGGTGACATTGGAGTCTTGGAGATGGGAGGGAGATGATTTGCAAAATTGTTCCTACTGCTTGGGAAAGGTCACTGAGCTTCTTAAAATTTAAATTTTCTTTTCTCATTGGAGGAAGATTCCCTATTTTTTTGTGTATAAGTTTTAAGATGATCAGTTTTGATCAAATAGTATCACAATATCTTATTTCTGTTTTAAAATGAATACCCAGAAATGAAATAATAAGAGCTTAAGTGAAAAAAAATAAGAGCAGCTAAATTTATTAAGAAGGGAACTTTTGTAGGAAATGCTAGAAGTTGGGTGATTCTGTGTGCTCTCTGGCAGACCAGCTTCCCAACTCAATTATATAAGGGCAATTAGATTATAACTCCGGCTTCTGAAAACTCATTTAGAGAGATAAGAAATTCATTTTACTATATTGTACTCTAAATTGTAAATGATATTCAAGATTAATTGTCTAACAGGTTGGAGTTTTAAATTGAAACTTTCTTATGTTATTTTCTTTCTGTAAGATTCACCATGAAGGTTTTAAAAAGTTTCAAAAACATTTTTAAATTCTTTTCAGTTAAATTGAAGTTATGACTTTTAAAATTGACCCTAACCTCTTCTTTGTATCTCACAGAATACCATTTCTGTCCCATTTCCAGAGCTACGTAGAACTTTTTTGAGGCTAAACAGAGAATAAGTGCACTTTTTTTTGTAGTGGAGTCTAAAAGAAAGCATAATTCATACTATTCTTCCCAGGAAATGGAAAGCTGAGGGTCCTATCTCATATATTTTTATTATCAGTGAGTGTCATAATCAACATTTATATTGATATCAAGATCTATTACCAATATGCTAGTATCAGTATGAGTTATATGGCTATATATGGTTATATTGTGATATGGATATATATGTATATATATATGTATATAAAATGAAAATCATAGCTCTCTTAAGGGCTTGTGGCTGGATGCATGCTCTATCCAAGGTAGAATCATTGGCTGAGGGCATACAGTGGGAGCAAAGTGTGACTCTTTACTGGGGCTTTACTTTTGTACTGAGTGTCAGTAAGCCCAGCCTCATGATCACTGAGCATGTATGGAGTGTGTGGAGATACATGTAGCTGCTGATAAGATGGGAGGGTAGAGAGTGGCAAGGCAAGGATCAAAAGGCCTGAGTACATGCTTGGTCTTCTGTAGGTAAGCCAGTGGATTTCAAAGGATGGTGGTGGCATGCCTGGCCCTCTCCACCTTGGGATACTGGAGGCAGTGTGTGGCAGGCGTTGCAGAATGAGGACTGGGTAGCTGATCAGTCTGGTGATTTTCTTTCATTTATCCTTGTCCTCATTCAACAGGTATTCACCCAGGGCTTGCCTTGTTACCAACACTGAACTTTTCCAAATGGTTCATACAGGAACATACAGGCTAGAAGTAGCATGGGATGGAAAGTAGTGAAAAGGCTGGGATGTGTGTGACAGGCATTACAAGAGGGGTGGTGAAGTCATGCCCAAGAAAAGGTCGGCTTAAGGTGCAGGTCTATGTGAGAGGGATGGTTTAGATGGTGGCAAGCAGCTGGCAATTGAGAAAAATTTTGTGTAGGACCCACACCTATTCTAAAACATGAGGTTGTAAAGAGAATCCCTAGTAATTTCTTAAACTCAGGCTGTGAGGTTGTTGAGCCAGTCAACTTCATAGTCCCAGGTCCACTTCTAACCCAGAAATACCACAGACCCCTAAAAGTGTTGTCGCTTTGCTAGATACATATATTTGAAAAGAAATTTGAGGAGCTAGTCTCCCACCCTTGCACTTCAAACATTTCTCCCAACTTTATCTTAATATATTAAAATAAATCCTTGCTAAAACTTCAAGAAAAGAAGGAAATTAAAGAAAAGAAAAAAATTATAACTGAGTGCCAATCTTAGATTCTGGTGTAAGGAGGATGGAATCAACTCCAGTGCCTTAAGTCATGTTTCAAGTTTGAAGTTTAAATATTTGTTTATGTTTGCTGAGTGACTGAAAGACATGAAAACATATGTGGAAGCATGTGAGTATATTAGTCTCTTTCACTGAACTCTCAGTTGCTTTGGTTTTCTTGTCAGTGGTGTATAAACAGGCAGCTGTCTGCTCTACTGTGGACATAGATAGACCTTATAATAGCTGGATAGTTGCAGATTTTGTTCTAAACAGAAACTGATTCCCTTCATATTTTGTGGTAAGAGGTCCAGAGAATGTTGACAAAATGATTCTGCTTCTCTGGGGGTGCTAACCCACCTCTGATTAATGAAGGGTCTTACATTTTAAACGTGAGAACTGTTATTCATTGTACTTTCTGTTTCTAGGGTAAGAGATGTTGTTCTTTGGACTGTGTTAAATACTGCTCTGCATAAAAGAAGTGATATAGAACAAAGCCTGCAGACTATGACTAATTGCCATGCACTGGGCTAATGAGAAGGCAGCAGCAGCAGCACACATTCATAGAGGGTCTGCTTTCCTCCTAGGACTTCCTTTGCTGGGCACCTCGCTGGAATTCTTGTTGGATTAATGTACACTCAAGGGCCTCTGAAGAAAATCATGAAGACATGTGCAGGTACAGAAAAAAATGTGTTTGGAATGACAACAAGTTGGAAGTTTATCTTAATTTTATTATGAACAGAAGCAACCTAATGTTTTCTTGTGGCTCAGCATAGAAATTTCCTATTCAATTTTTTTAAACCAAGAATTAATAAGAAAACTAGAGCAGTCTTCACATTGTTGCACAAGAGGATAGAAACTCATATTTCAGATTTGAGGATTTCTTAAGAAACCGATCCTAGTTTGTATTTAGACCTTCAGATCCTACTGGTGCTCTCTGAAAACTACAGTTTCCTCAAAAACACAGGGAGCTAATGTGAGTTTAAGATAAAGAATTTTTTTCTGTAATATCTCATGAATTAGTATATGTGCAAGGAAAAGTTAAAAGGAAAACCAAGCCTCGACTGAAATACAAAGCCAGTGTTTTAAAGAATTCAGAATGCTCACCAGGTCATTGGTAAGCAAGACAATGATATCCATGCATGGCCAGACCACATCTATTATCACTTGGGGTTGAGCTCCTGCTGGTTTTATTTTTCTTTTTCCTTTGTTTTTCCCTTTAAACTGATGCTCGATGAAAACATTTTATTCAGAAATAAATGCATTTTAAACTCTTTAATTTAAAATGTGATACTGGTTTTGACTTGGAAGGAAACTGTTTTGCAAATACTTGTTTTATAGACCATGTGAGTTCCAATATTTCATCTTTTATTCATGGGAAATCTTCTGAGACTATTTTACCTTTTGTTGAACCATAAATAATTTGTTTTCACAGTTTGTGTCAAAGACTGGTATCCCTGAGAACCATATAATATTCATGATATTAGAAAGCTTTCCCGGCATTGCACTGCTGCCTTTATTAGCAGGTGTGCTCACTTTGGGGTGTGCTCACTCTACATCAGTGCTGCATCCAGGCAGGTCCCCGTTTCCCTGCATTGGCCTCTTTCTGTGTTGCCGTGTATGTGATTGTAGAAGGCAGCAGAAGCTTTGTTTATTAAAAATTTCCAATTGTATATTACTTTCAATGTAATGTGGTGATATAGCTCTAGCAATCAGTATTGATAAGGGACAACAAATAATTCTAGAGACTATATTGTTTCATTTCTTTTGTTTTTTTTTTATCTATGCCTCAAGAACCTAACTGGTTATTAAAGCTTTCTGCAGATATATTGCAAATTACGTAAGTTCTTGGCTTAATTTTAATGAGGAAGTTCCCAACAGTTATAACAGTTACACTCTTAATTGACCTCTTTAAGACCTTACCTATTTTTCTGTGGAGATTTTTTTTATCAATTGTTTTGAAGTAACACAGTAGATTGTATATGAATAACTGCAATAAATGCTTTCTGACACTGGTGAGCGGGTCTGGAGTCAGCTGAAAATTGAAGTGACACAGTAATCATGGAAAATGACCACACTACAGAGGCTGCTGTCTGATGTTGCACAAATGAAGAGGCTCATAATGAAGGCCTTGGCCTGCCCCTTCCCTCTCTCCATTCAGCTCGACCAAAGTAACTTTATAGGGACAGGAATGGAGAACGTCCCAAGTTAGGGCACTTGGCCCTCCTAACACCCTTATACAAAGGCATCAAAGCCCAAGTTTAGTACCTCATGAAGGAAAGGCCAACTTAAGTCAACAGGAGTTTTTAAGGAACAGAAATATAAATTAGATCTCAATGACTTCCTACCACGTGTGTGTGTGTGTGTGTGTGTGTGTGTGTGTGTGTGTGTGTGTGTGTGTGTGT